TTATTTCCTGACTCTGATGAATTCCCCATAAATCTTCAATTTGACACATTTGAAAAAGAACTTTTATTTATAAAAAATCTATACACGAATCATAAATTGACAAACATCCGACCCGTTTCGGGCTAACCGCACCAATGCATTCACATAAATCTGTTTCAATAATCAATTACAGTAATCAAAAAACATGACATGGCTATTTACGCAGTAAGAGAAAAAACATGAATATGAAAATAATTAAGGTATTCCAATAGATTATCATTTCTCTCCAATAAGGGCGTGATTCTGATCACCGTTATTTGATTGTCGTTGATCATTTGTCGGCACAGAAACGAAACCATCTTTGGCCTTCTTTGGTGTAAACGACGAAAAGAACTGGAAATAATGGGATAACTCTTAGTTACAATACCGTTATGTATCCCTATTTTTTAAATTCTCCAGGTTTATACTGCAGGAAGAAGTCAGAAAAGACACCGAGGACATGTGCGAGGAGGGACTTCTCCCAGACTACGCCCATGCCACTAGGTAAATTTTTTCAATATACGACCCTTCCCCGGTCCCAATCTTCTCCCTATTGGTCATCTTCTTCCAAACGATCTTCCATTTTGCTAAGTTTTTTTAAACGCTTCTCCATTTTTTTCCCTAAAACAGTGCCGTCCAGCGGGAGGATGAGAGGGAACGTGCTCTGACCACTACACAATGTCTCTACGTCTTCTCCCCTACAAAGGCCTAGATTTAGAGCGCAGACGGTCAGAGTCGCGCGTAGAGAGTGGCTGCTCTTCAAGAGTCTGTAGTGGCTCCCACCGTTTGCATTCTAAGTCTGAGCCTTGGCTAGGGAAGTGACGCATCTGGCTGTTTAGTAATTCCCCCCTCTCCAAATGCTTTAGTGCCGGCAAGAACTACGGCCAATAAGAAATACTTGAGCAACAGCACAAGGGTAGCGCATGCCCTATCTCACCAAGGGTCTAATTGCGCGGTAGCTTTGTACTGCTGTCTTACGATTGGTCACGTAATTTCGTCGCGCGCGGCGGGCGTCTGATTCGCGCGACGCTCCATTGTGCGACTCGACGACTGGGAGTAACGCTGAACTCCCCGCAACGTCCACTTGTCAAAAAGAGCGAAAATAATTTCCCAACTTCTTAAGTTCACAATAATAGAGAGATGTCTACGGCAGCGTTCAGACTTCGCGACGGCAGCGCTTCGGTCGCGCGTTCGACGCGATCGATGCAGTTGAAAGCATGCGCATCGATCGCGTCGAACGCGCGACCGAAGCGCTGCCGTCGCGAAGTCTGAACGCTGCCTACCTTATCCTTTTACTTAAGCATTTTCTTCACTGTTCAGTACCCTTCCTTGGAAAAAAACCTGTTTAGAAAGAATTTTGCTAAAAATTACCGTTTTGTTAGTTGGTTTTGTGATCGGCGCACCGCTGTGGTTTTCACTTGATTGTGGGCAGCACATACTGAAGGTGTGAAGGAACTCTCTGAAATCAAGAAATTAGCCACCTGTTGAAATCCTGCCCATACATGAATAAGATCCCCAAGAGCAGGCTCATCCCGAAAGCTTACCTCCTGAACACGTGAGACATCAAAGCACATAGGACAAAATTGACGGCACTGTTGATTAGTGATAGTAAATCAAAGAAGTTTCCAAGAGGATGTGCGATGAACATCATACGAGGGTTAATACCTGAAATTGAGAAATTATCGGGTGCTCGATCGGCTAATTGATTTATTGATTGAGTACTGATTGATCACATGATAAAATCGGTCTAGGTAAGCCCCTGACGAAGGGTGCAGATTGTGATGTGGGAAATGGCCGTGTCGGTACGTCACCGCTCTCCGAAATTTCTACTCCGGTACGATCCACCTCGTCTTGCTACCATCTTCATCTTCCAGATTATCCCAGCTTCCTAACACATTTCCAACTTTTCCAAGAATTCTTTACAGTTTCGTCCCCCTCCAAAAAAAACTAGAAAGAAACTGTCGCAAGCGACTGGAAGGTACGACCTCTCTTCCTTCAGTGACCAAAACGACCCCCCCCCTCCCTTCTACATGATGCCCTGATAAACATGCTCCTCAAATAAGCGCCGAAAGATATTTACGTTGTCACAGCGACATGCAACAACTAGTCAATACTCTCTAGCTAGTTGACTAGACATCAGAGTACAGCATCGTTGCGAGGCGTCGTACTTTTCCGTGGGGAGGGGGTCGTATTTGGTCGTTGGGAAAGAGGAGGTCGTATGTGCGTTCGAGAGAAATTTGCTGCGTTGGGAAAAATTTTTTCCCGGTTGTTGACTTTTCGCGTGATTTTGCCTGTTTCATGTGTACCCCCCCCCCGCTCGATGGAAATTTTTGAGTGAAGAACTGGAAAATATGGGAAACTGGTAGTTAGGGGTTGGGGAAAGGGTGGGGGTCGTCAAAACCCTTTTCCAGCCAAAAAGGAAAGGTTTGATGGAACTAAGGGGGGAACTGAGGACTATACAGTTTTAGTATAATATGATCACGCGTACTTTGATGGTCCCCACCGAAGGGGCCGTATTTGGACGCTGTAGGTAAGGGGGAGGCGTCATTTTCCTTCGGAAAAAAAGGTTTTCAGTTGTTGACTTTCTAGTTGGTTTCCTGTTTCCATTGCGCATCCTCCCCTCTGCCCACCGCTCGAGGGAAGTTTCTGACGGAAGTGAAGAATGCTTGGAAAAAGACCGGAAAGGGTCAGGAAAACAGAAAACGGCATATGGTTGGAGGGATGGGAATGGGTGTAGTATTTTGCAAAAAAATTTCCCCAATTCTGCAAGTGCTCCAAAATGACGCTCTACTTCGCGCTGGCCAGGCACAAATGTAACCCAGAATGTCAAATAATGTAACTTGTGTCGAAAAAAAGTGGAGCTAAATATACTGTAAACATCCTGAAATAGAACTTACCAACAGAAAGTCCAAGGATTCCCTGAGGTAGTTCAGTAATCAGAAACACAGCTACAATTCCAGTCAACATTGCAGTCGTACGTTCAGCCTAAAGTATCACGTGAAAAGGGATAATTCCTAGACATCTTCTGGTAATGGAGTTAGTTAAAAAGTGTACATACTTGAGAGTTTCCCGTTGGGACACCTCCACAGAGCCGTAGTCTTCTTTCACGTGCTTCAATGAGCATCCTTACCAGAAGCGTCATAAACACCGTCAGAAGGACACATGGCACTAATTTGAGTACACAAGCTGAAAACGCGTTAAATTTAGCCCGAGCATGGCTTAATTGTCAGAAGAACAAGATTATAAGTCCAGGTTGTCAGGCTGCGTACAGTACCCCCGAAAATTGCGCGTGAAGTTAAAAATGTCGCGTCGTGAACGCACACAATCGGGCATACCGTACCCGGTTTAGTTACCCAAGTTTGAGTACGTTTGATAACCCGTGTACAGCTTTTGCACCCGGTTGATGTACGTTTCATCCTCAACCGCGACACAAGCTGTAC